GTTGTTAATATTTAATTGTTGGGTAGTCTTTCAGAGTTTTTTATATACATATTATAAACTAAAAATAGAGCATTTGATAAACTTTTTTTTTTTAACTTTTTGTGATTTAGGTGAAAGTTTACAAAGCAATTTCATTTTCCATTTAACATTTCATATAGATTTTGTTCTGTGACATTGACTGCAATCTCCACAATGAAAAAACTCTCTTCCCACTTCCTCCCTGTGCTTACCTTTTCCGTGTGTCCTTCTTTCCTATGCATTCCTGTCTTCTGAGCTTTATCCCTGCACAAATACTGCCCTTCTGATCTCCCATGGTTGATTGTTCTAAGGAGGGCACCTCCCTGGTATAATCATTCACCTTGTAGGTCTGTCTTGTTTGGCTCAAAGATAAGTCACAGGAGTGAGTCCAGTTCCAAGCTCAAAGAGTGACTAGGGGCGATGGTCTCAGGGGTTTCAACAATCTCTAGCAGACCAGTAAGCCCGTTTTTTTTTTTTTTTCAATGGTTTTGAGTTTTGTTCTACATTTTCCTCCAACTCTATCTAGCATCTCCAGTTTTGATCCCTTTCCAAATGGTTGGCAGTGGTAGCCAAGCGTCATCTAGTTCTTTTGGTTTCAGGGTCATGGAGGCTAAGGTTCCCATGGTTCACTAGTCCCTTGGACTAATTGTGTATCCTTGATTTTCTTCAGTCGTCTTTGCTCTGGACGTGGAAAGACCAATTGTTGCATCTTAGATGGCCACTCACAGGCTTTTAAGACCCCAGTCACTACCCACCAATGTTGTTGTTGTTATGTGCTGTTGAGTCGGACCCGACTCATAGTGACCCCTCCTTGGGTTTCTGAGGCGGCATCATTACGGAAGTAGATTGCCCAACTTTCCTTCCGAGGAGTGGCTGGTGGGTTTGAACCTCTAGCCTTCTGGTTAGCAGTCAGATGCTTTAGGCACTATGCTACCAGAGCTCCCGACACTACCCACCAAAGGAGTATGTAAAACATTGTTTTTGTGTACTGTGTTAGCCAAATGAACTTGATGTCTTCTGTGACAGTTATCCCAAGCCCACAGGTCCAGTGATTCACTCCCTAAAGGTGTTTGATTGTAGCTAAGAAGTTATCATAACTTTACCCCGTGTTAGCTCTATTATATACATGGACATTCTTAAAGTACATATAAATACATATGTAGAAATAGCATCTGCCAAACCTATATATGGTAGTGGGTGTTTTCCTATTCACCAACTTGTACCTGTTCATCTTGCCTGTTTACCTATATATCCATTTGTAGATTAATATTTTTTTTTTTATTACTGATAATATAGTATTGGGAGCTCTGGTAGCATAGTGGCTAAGACACTTGCCTGCTAACCAGACGGCTGGCGGCTCAAACCCACCAGCCCCTCCTCGGAAGGAAGGTTGGGCAATCCTACTTCCGTAGTGATACTGCCTCGGAAACCCAAGGAGGGGTCGCTATGAGTCGGGGCCGACTCGACGGCACATAACAACAACAACAACAGTATAGTATTGCATATGTAGTAGTATTAACTTTTGTTGTCTGTATCGCTTGTGCAAACTCTCCATATCTTCCTTTTCCTTAATGATATTGTATTGGTCACCTGCCAATGATACTGCATTTATCTTCACCCAGTATTTGAAAAACTTTTGAATTCCTCAAGGTTGTATCTCTTTCGAAGAGAATTCCATTTTCTGCACTTAAAATCATTTGAACTATTGCTATTGCTTGTCGCAAATGAGGTAAATAATTCAGACTTTGGTCATTTGCTTTCCACTTTTAATGAGTAGTTCCAAAAATAAGGTCAGGTTTCAGTTCTAATCTAGGAAAATCTTAGCATCATGGAATTTCAAAACTGAAAAGCATCTATATAAGCATTTTGTTTAGATTTTATGGGGAAAAAAGAAAGACAAATCATCTTACTTTCTTCTCCCATAGCTTTGACCATAAAGTAAATAAATAATACCCTATCCCCTGATACCAAGGACACTGTTCTTTCTTTTCTTTCAAGAAAAGCAAAGCAATGAGGTAGTTCATTAAAATAAATTTCTGTGCAATAGTCTGATATTTTAAGGCAGAAGCCTAAAGCTTAGTTTTCATCTGAATCATACATAGTTGCCCTCAGAAAAGTGCTGGCAACTGTGGTTGATACTCCTAGAATCGCCACAATATCTGTTGGTTTGATGTGGAAGTGAACATGAATATGAACAGAATATATGAGGTATGTGATTACTAATAACTTAAACTTTGTTGACTGTGTACTGAGGAATTTCCATAGGTTGTCTTCTTTCATCTTCACAATAGGTCCTGTAAGTGCTGTTCAGGGAGCCAGAGCTGAAGTTTCATCCCAGTACTGTCTCATTCTGAAGCATTCCTTTAATCACCTTTGTCCTGCCTCTCTTTGCTTTACCAAATTCTCCTATAATTTCCTCTACTAATATTAGGGGTGGTAAATGTCAGACTTATAATTGTTATGGCAAAGTTATATTGTTATGGAAGAAGAATAGCATTTTACTAAAGTTTTGTAAAATACTTTCAAGCATCTGTGTAAAATAACTGAACAATCTGGCATATATACTTTCCTGTATGCATACCTTTTATTTCTATCTTTTTTTCATTTCACTGCTGTCAAGTTGATTCGACTCTTAGTGGCCCCTCCTTGGGTTTCCGAGGTGGTATCTCTATGGAAATAGATTGCCCAATCTTCCTTCTGAGGAGTGGCTGGTGGGTTTGAACTGCCTGCCTTCTGGTTAGCAGTCAAATGCTGTAGGCACTATACCACCAGAGCTCCCTTTTTCTCATTGGAAAATAAAAGAGTTATTTAGAAAGGTGTTGTAGTCATTACTAAATTTTAGCTCTTTTTAAGTATCTGTTTAACTGATACTTTAATCAGTGTTAACCCCTAAAATAAGGACTGTATAGCTTGTCTTGTAAATTGTAATGCTATAAAGTTGGCCCTTTACCAAACATGATGTAATTTTCTAGTGATTGGCCTTTCCTTATGACATATTCGAACCAAAGTCTTGATATTCTTGCTTCTAAGGAGCCTTCTGGTTGTATTTGTTCTACAACTGATTTTGTTTGTCCATGTTATATTCAATGTTCTTTGCTGACACCACAGTTCAAATGCATCAGTTATTAGCCCAATAATCCCTAGTAGATCATGAATTTCATGAGAGCAAGGACCAAGTCTGTTTGGTTAGTTAACTGCTGAATACCCAGCATCTACCCCAGTACCTGGAACATCCAAAACCAAAAAAAAAAAAAACAAACTCACTGCCATGGAGTCAGATCTGACTCATAGCGACCCCTCCATGGGTGTCCAAGGTGGTATCACTGCGGAAGTAGATTGCCCAGTCTTCACACAGTCAAACCAAAAAAACCACTCAATGCCATCGAGTCTTGTAGTGACTCCCATTGGGTTTCTGAGATGCTAGATCTTTATGGAAGTAGATTGCCCCATCTTCCTTCTGTGGAGCAACTGGTGGGTTTGAACCACCAACCTTCTGGTTAGCAGTCATATTCCTTAGGGACTATGCCACCACAGTGCCTTTGGAACATAGTAGGTACTCAAATATGTGTTGAATGAATTAATGAATCGGTAAATGAATATACCCAAAGCAGTACATTTTCAATGATTACCCTTTCCTTAGTTCCTTTATTCCCATGTCATGTATTATTCAAGAACAAATCTGTGTTTTCTTCAGAAAAACTTTGTCCCAATAGTTTTTGGTTTGCTTAGGAACAAGCATGCTTCCTATATTGCTAATAGTTATTGATAGCAATTCAGATTCTGTTCAGTGATGCATTTGGATTTCAAAATCTCTGTATCAGAATCTGGAGCTGTGGTAATTCAGTGGTTAAGGCATTCAGCTGCTAAGCGAAAGGTTGGTGGTTCAAACCTAACAGCCACTTTGCGGAAGGAAAAAAAAAAAAAACAAACTCACTGCCATTCAGTTGTTTCTGAGTCATAGCAACCCCTCCTGGGGTTTCCGAAGCAGTATCTCTATGGAAGTTGATTGCCCAGTCTTCCTTCCAAGGAGTGGCTGGTAGGTTTGAACCGCCAGCCTTCTGGTTAGCAGCTAAATGCCTTAGGCACTACACCACCAGAGTTCCCTTGAGAGAGAAAGATGAGGCAATCCACTTCTGTAAAGATTTACAGTCTTGGAAACCCTATGAGGTGGTTTTGATACGTCCTATTTTATCTCTTTGCATTGGAACTGAGTTGATGGCTGTGGGTTTTTGGTTATCAGAGGCAGCCATAATAGAGGAAAAGGAGTAAGTTTTAGGATATGTATTTTCTGTCATTTTGACCTGAGCATGGGTGGGTTGGATGAGAGAGGAAGAGAGTAGAAGACTGTTGACTTCCCCCAGATGGTTTCCTGCCCAATGACAAAGTAGCTTGAATATTCCTGTAGTTCAGGTGTTTACCCTTAGAGCCTAGGTATCCAAATTTATCCTCCCTGCATGTCTGAGATTTCTGCTGTCCTCTGTCCCAAACTAGGAGCTCTGGTAGCATAGTTCCTAACCTAAGGCATTTGACTGCTAACCAGAAGCCTGGTGATTCAAATCCACCAGCCACTCCTCAGAAGGAAGGTTGGGCAATCTACTTCCGTAGTGATACTGCCTCAGAAACCCAAGGAGGGGTCACTATGAGTCAGATATGACTCTGCTTCAGTGGGTTTGGTTTGGTTTGGTTTTCTGTCCCAGACTAGTTTTGAAAACATAGGTACTTTCTTTCCAAAGATTTATTTAAAGCAACCATCCCAAACCTTTGTCATGGAAACTGACAGTATTTTTATGGCCCTCGTGAGTCCACAGACAAGACTTCCTACCCCAGGCTTGCTAACTGTCCTAGGTCTGAGGGGATCACTCTCTCTGCCCACTTACGGCCTTTTGATGTGCACACAAGTACATCAGTTGGGAAGCTTACTCATTGGAGATCATCCCAAATGTTGCAGGTAACATAACTTCTTTCTTCCTTTCAATCCATAGTTGGTCATGTTCGGAATTTGACCTGAATGAGATTCGCCTGATCGTTTACCAAGACTGTGAAAGGAGAGGCAGACAAGTCTTGTTTGATTCTAAAGCTGTTCACAAGATTGAAGAGGTGGCAGCTCAGGTATGAAATGCTGATTTGCTTTCATCTTTTTTGCTTGTACTTTTAACCACCTCTCTGATCAGTCATTTATTAATTGTTAATCTTCTCTTTGGGCTAACCTAGACAGCGCTATTAATAGTTCAGAAGAAACATAAGCGAAGGCTCAAGCTCCCTTACCCCCCAGGCATCTTTGTAGTCTCAGTAACAAACGCAGGTAAAACAGGTAGCAAGTAATCATGACAGGCACCAGGCAGTTTATTATACATATTACTAGAGGTGAATTTGCTGGTGAGTTGGAATCCAGAGGGATTTTGATGCCAAGTGTATGACATGTAATGGGAAAATGGAGAACTCTAAAATTCATGAAGTGTTACTCTGAAGGGAAAGTAATGTATTATTTTGTCCAGTATTTTTCATAGATGTTAATAGGTATTACATAGCACTGGTTTAAATGAAATTAAATAGCTTTCTTTACTATAGAGCTATATATTGTATATGTTAAGATGCATTGTCAGCTCCAAAAGGGAGTGTTTCTCAAACCTATCTGGCCAAGAAAGCTTAAATTTTATTTCTTTTTCTTTGTGGAGGGTACAAGAGGTGGGTGTGGGGAGAGAGGGATTGGTGGGGATGGGTAGAGTGAGGACAGGCCAGCTCTTAATTCTGTGGAGCAAGAATAGTACAGGTAAAGTCACATGTCTAAGATGAGCAGCAGAGTCTGGTCCACCCTAGTCCTCTGGTTACCAGTCCCTCCAGTAAACCAGCTGCTATGAAATCAGTTCTGACTCACGGCACCCCCATGTGTGGTAGACTAGAATTGGCTGATTTTTCATACGTAGGCCTTTCTTCCAAGGAAATACTGGGTGGACTTGAACATCCAACCTTTTGTTTAGCAGCTGAGTGCATTAACTGTTTGTACATAGTCATACCATGCTGTACTTAGTCCAACACCAGTGCATGGTAATTATACATTGTCATGAATTTCATGGTGCTTCCAACATTTATTTAGTTGTCTACAAGTTAATTAAACAAATAAATCCATTTGTACTGATTCTTTTCATGTTCAATGACATGCCATTTACACTGACCGAAGTCTGCCTGGGTAGCAAAAATGATTTGCATTCAGCTATTAATCTGAATTAATAGCAGTTTAAGCATAGGTACTGAAACAAGGCGGGCTTGTGCTTACTCACTGATCTGCACTGAACACGTTCCCTTGTTACCCTACCGAGAGGGACCAGGTCTT